ATCAAAATGCCAAGTACGAGAAGAAGATCATGGCATGGCTACGTGCGTTTTCCCGGGCTTGTCACCTGGATCCAGGCATGGTGGCACCGTTTCCGACACGAAGTGACTCGATCAGGAGAGTTTTCTTCACTGTTGCATTTTAATTTTGTGTCATGGGACATGCCAGTTGTTAAGTGTGGGGGTGGGGGTAGTGTAAATAGCATTGTTTGACTTGCTTTCTTATTTGAAAAAGAAAAAAAGAAAAACTATTTTCTTATTGTTTTAGGATAACTTCTTCACTTGTACTTCCATGGGTTCCTTGTTTTGTTCTTTACCATGCTCCTAATATTTTGAACCAAACACTTTCTAGAGTAGATTTTTGTTTTTTTAGATAAGTTTTTGAAAAGTTGTTGGTGCTTGGCAAAATAGATTATGCCTGACCTGTGGGATGCATTATCATATCCTTGCAAGTCAGAGAGACCATTGGTGTTTGAGGTCTAAATTGTGTGCCTATACGAGACACTATGTGGGGTGAGGCAAATGTTTGCTTAGTGATTGTGCCTGACAAGGTCTAGAACTTGGCTTGGTTATGACTCAAGGCGAAATCTTAGGTAATAGTCAAGTTTGGAGATGACTATAGTCCTTCTTTGATAGCTTTTTGTTTCTTCGACTGCTTTGAACCCTCTTGAAAACTGATAATTTATCCCTAGTCAACCCAGTTGAGCCTAATTTCCTCTTTCTTTGGCAACCACAGTACAACATGAACCTGTAGCCATCCCTAAGCACTTGAGTACCTTGTGTGTAATGCTAAAAGATGAAGAGACATAAGTGTGGGGGTGGGGGCTGGTTTTGAGTTGAACCAAAAGCAAGTAAGAAAAGAAAATGTGTAACATCATAAATGATAGTGAGCTACGAGAGCAGGGGGTTAGGAAAAAAAAAAGAAAATGGTTGAGTAAGGAAATGAAAGTGAATGTCCCCTTGCTGATGTAAAATACTTGTATGTTGTGCTTAAATAATTGAGACTGGGGTGTGCTTTTGATTAGGGAGTTCGTGGACAATTGTCAATGAAAAAGGAGTACGCCAAGTTTGAAGTTGTTAGTATTAAATTGCTTAGGGAGGTGTAGATACTCTATCCAACCCATCACATAGTCAACGTTACAACCAAATAAAAAGTCCTACATGATCTAGATGAGGTTGTTCCTACATTAGTGGAGAATTATACGATAGCCAAACTTATGGAACTTTGGAAATCATGAGTCACATCTTTGTAAGGGTGAGCGATTGTTGTGTACTGCCCGAGACCGTTAATTGCAATTGGTATGTGAATGGACATTGTCTCTTTCTTGTGAGGTGCATCGAGAAATTGGTGCTAATTAGACCACAACACTAGTGAAATGTTATGACCAGGGTTGAGGTTAAATGTGACCCAAAGATTGTATGAAGTTGATTTAGCCGATCACTCGTTTGAGGTGGTTGCAATATTAGGAGTATTTACATTTTAGATTTTCTCCGGACGAGCAAAAGCTAAGTGTGGGGGTGTTTGATGAGCTTAAAGTTACTTATTATTTATGCCCACTTTGTGTATTTGTTTTGGCTAATTCGATAGAAATTTGGGGGATTTGGGTCTAAAATATTGTCTTTCAATGCAGGTGATACAGAGAGGATCAATGGACGAATCGTGCTCTTAGTGGGAGGAAAGAGAGTTGAGCAGGAGGAAAACACAGGTGCACGACCGCGCACAAGCGATCCCCAGCGCGCACTTGAGTGCGCAAATGATACAATATTCTGCCATATGTGCGCGACCATGAGTGTGGTCACACGTCCAGGTGCGCGGTCGCACACATCCGCTTTCGGGAACTTCACCCAAGCCTATTTTTGTAAATTCGGAGGCGAATCTTTTTGACCCATATGAAGCCTAGCTCGTCTCAAAACAATGTATCTGGACTTTGGAGCAACTTTTGGAGAGAGGAAGGCAAGGAAACAACAGAGACTTTAATTACTTCATCCAATTCATTCAATACGGAAGTTGATTTGATTTTGGAAATTGTAATGTCCTCTTATTCTTCTCATACTCTTGTGATAAATAACTTCTCCACCATGGAGTAATCTTTCTTAGGGTTATTGACGGATATTGTGATTTGACTATTGTTTTAATTTTTACTTTCTATTAGTTTCCCGAATTCGTTGAATGAGTTATTAATTAAATTGCAAAGCCAATTGTAGTTTTACTTTAAACAAAAGAGAAGTGTTGCTGCAATTTGCATTGTGTTATCTTGTTTGGGTTAATTTTACGCCTCTCATAGATAATTGAAAGAGCTTAGAGGGTTATCAATTGACCCAATTTTGAAGAATAGTTGAGAGACGTTCTTCGTAAATTCATTAATTTAATGTATTTTGCATATGCTCATGGGAACGGTCATTAGGCTGGTCAACAGAACTCTCATTCATTCGGAAGAATAATTTGAATCCTTAAGATAGCCTAATCATCTGTTGAAATCAAAAGAATCAATAGAAGTTAAGAGTGAACTTGGCACGGAGTTACCCGAAATAATAGTTGATCACATATCTTGTCACAGACCTTACTTTTCACCTTGATATTCAATCGTTGCTAGTTAGTCACTAAATTTCCATAACTTTCTCACAATCGATAATCTTAGTTTTTATTATTAGTCGATAATAACATAAATCAAAGGTTTATTTTTCTGGATAGTGTTAAGCTGAAGATTTATTAGAACATTATTTAAACCAATCCCTGTGGAGACGATTTAATACTATACTGTCTTTGACCAGCGAGCATATATTTTATACACAGGTTTTGCGCTTGTCAGGAACGACACTGGTTGGTTGTTGTTGCATTTTAACTAACGCTTTTCCTTACCAGATGCTTAAGCTACAGACAGAGTGTGTCTATTGAGCACAACAAACTCAGAGGGTGTTTTGATGGGCTTAAAAGTTGGTTGACCAGCTTTTAAGCACTTTTTTATTTTCTGGAGTGTTTGGCAAAAAAAAAAGGCTGCTTAAAAAAAGCTAAAAAGTGCTTAAAAAAACCACAAGAAACAAGTTGGTTGACCCCAACTTTTCTGATTTTGGCTTAAAAGCCATTTTAGTTTGACCAATAAAATTACTTTCTTGTCCATTATAAGTTTTTATAATACCAAAATTACCCTCAGTCAAAGAAACCCTAAAACATCGTACTTCTCCTATTTGCTTCACTTCTAAAGACTATCGTTCCTCTTCTTTCCTCTTCATTTTTATGCACTTTTCCTCAAGCATTTCAGTGAAAAGTAATCGTCATTGTATATTTTTTTTGATCTTTATTGTAATCGTGATAATTTATTGATATTACAACATCATTCTTGATTCCATCTACTTCCTCTGTTTCTACAATATGTATTTTGTATAGCATTTTAGAAGAGAACTACATTAATTCTTTACTCCTTATATTTGCACATATTATAATTAAAGTCTTATGTGAAAAGGATCGGAGTCCTCCTTATGTGCTGGCTGTATGCGTCAGTATTTTTATAAATCTAGAAATAAATATAAATTGTGGCAACTGGCTTAAGTGCAGTAATCTAGTTACGTTGTATATTTTTGTTAGCTTCACAGAAAAGTTATCGTGGTGGGGAGAGCACTCAAATGCTTATGAAATATCCATGTACCAAAATTGTGGACTAAACTTTCTTGACTTTTCCTGTTTATGAGCAAACCTGTTAAGTTATCAAGTAAATAGAGCCTACTGGATATATTGGATATTTCATTAGTCACTCCAACTAATGAGGAAGTTTCTTCTACTTAAATTAGATATTTGTTTCTCCTTTCTTCAAATTATTTACATTCAATCATGACGGAAAGTAACGCTAAGTGGGACGATGAGGTTCATATTACATTTATTGAGTTGTGTGAGCAACAGATTAGAAAGAGAAATAGACCAAACACTTACTTATCTAAAGATGGGTGGAAAAATATAATTAATGAGTTCGAAAAGAAGAAGGGAAGAGTGTATAATAAAAAATAATTGAAAAACCATTGAAATTACATGAAAGCCGAATGGATACTTTTTAAGCAGTTGATGAGAGGAGAGACAGGTTTAGGATGGGATGCCACAAAAAATATAATTGTAGCAGATGATAATTGGTGGGAGCAAAAAATTAAGGTACATCTCTCATATTGCTACATGTGTCGTTCTTTTTTTTTTTCATTGCTAAATTTCTTTTTTAGCTTAAAGTGGCTTTGAATTTATTTACAGGAGAATGCTCGATATATAAAATTTAGGAACAAAGATCTTTCGCTCGATATAAAATATTTTTGGGGATGCCTACTGATGAAGCTCGTAAGTTTTGGTTGGAGTTTAACTATCAGTTATACCTCAAGAAAAATGGATAATGTATCGTTGTGGTTGAATATTTTTATTGTTCCGTATTCGAATATTATAGTTGTATGTGTAAACTTTATTATGGTTTTATGTGTAAGCTTCAGTTGTAGTTTTTATGTGTAAACATGCACGGAATATTTTCCTACACATCTATGTGTAAGCTTTAGTTATGGTGCTAACTTCAGTGATGGTGGGACTCATCTTTGCTTTGTGTGTTGTCTGGGTTGTAGCTACCTTTCATTTGCTTGATTGTTGCCTTTGATTTGCTACCTTTCATTTGAGGATTAACAACATCAGATTAGTAGCTACCTTTCATTTGCTTGATTGTTGCTTGCCTATCTACACAAAAGAAGTAAAAGAAGATTACCATTTTGCTTGCCTCTTCTTTATATTATAGTGAGATGTGTTCCGGTGCTGTATAGGTAGCTACTAATCTGATGCATGGCAATATCTATGTGACAACTAAAGATATTATGATATGCATCCTTGTATGTTTCCTAACTTGCAATGGTCATGTGTTGTCTGGAAAATGATTCCTAGCTTCAGTTATGTGTATGTTTCTTAGCTTGCAATGGAAAATGGAGAAATGGGTTGAGATGATCTGCAATTAGCCAGTTAGTTAACTTTATATTTCTATTTCAGTTAAATGGAGAGTTCGAACTTTAGCGACTTGGTAGATCCTTATCCAAGTTATTCGTCGGATGATGAAGATGAAGAAGAACTGGAGGAAATACGGAGGGAGAAATATGAGAAGGAATGGATGGCTTTATGCCAAATAGCAGGTAAATTAATTTTGATGTAATACAAAAAATACCTATGTAAGGAACCTTGTCGTACATCTAGTCTCTCTGGAAATGCATTTATTCAAGAGATATTAAGAGGAAACGATTGAGGAAGTCGGTGTTTGTTGATTTATCGTATGATTTAGCTTAAAAGTATGGGCTTAAACCCACACGCGGAATGTCTATACACGAGATGTTAGGCATGTTCTTGATGACTTGTGCACACGGAGTTGGAAATCGATTGATACAGGAAATCTTTCAACATTCGGGAAAAACAATTCATACACTTTTACAGTATTTTAAAGGCCATTTGTGAGCTTGAGAGAGATATTATAAGACCACATCCAAATTATAATAATGGTGCAGGAGCTCACAAGCCATGTAACGGTCGATATCTCCCTTTCTTTAGAGTAAGTAATAATTTTACCTAATTATTTTTTATTAAACTTATAACTTAACTTTTATAAGTATTACTAACTTAAGTTTTATTTATACTTGTATATGTATATAGGATTGTATTAGAGCACTTGATGGCACACATGTTAAAGCAAGATTACCGCAAGGTCAAGAGATACCATATATTGGACATAAAGGTTATTCGACTCAAAATATTCTTGCTGTTGTAGATTTTAATATATGTTTTACATTTGCATGGGCTGGGTGGGAAGGAGCAGCTCACAATAGTCGTATATTTGGTGAGGCCCTTCATAGACCAGAACTCAACTTTTCAGGTCCAATTGGAAATAAGTATTATCTAGTTGAAGCAGGATATCCACACATGAAGGGATACATGGCTCCATACAAAGGAGATAATGTGAGATACCACCTAGCACAATTTCTCCGTGGTGCAACAAGAGAATTGCGAGAACCAAAAGGACGAATTGAAAAATTTAACTATTTGCACTCTTGTTATAGAAATATTGTAGAGCGCACATTTGGGGTTTGGAAAGCAAGATGGTCTATTTTGCGAGACATGCCCTCCTATCATATTGACACTCAAAGAGACATCGTACTTGCTACTATGGCCATTCATAACTATATTAGAAATAAATGCAATATGGATGATGCATTCCAAGCAGCTGAGAATGAGAGATATGTTCCATCTGTTGATCCTGATGTTGGTACATCTTCGAGAACTAATAACAATATAAATGCGGAAAATGTGGAAGAGCAAAGTGATCTCGTTTGGATGGGTCTTCGTGATTTGATTGCTAATGAAATTTGTGAAGCTTGATACTTGTAATTGTAGAGTAAAAACACTAGCTGGTCATGATCAGCAACACGCCTTAAAAGGTTATTTTGTTTAGACATTTGTTAAATTTATTGAAATATTTTTATTAAGAGAAAAATTTCTTTTATGTATTTGTCCGCATATAAGTCAATGGTTACCATACCTGGCATAAAAAGAAATGAGCTTCCTTCTACTTTTCATGGATGTAACTGCATCTTTAATTTTTCAAGAGTAAATGGACAAGAAGGGAAAGAGGAATTCAACAAAATAATTTGGTATTTTAAATAGGTTGAGACTTTTATGAAAGTTTACTTGATTGAAAGTGGTGAAAATGAGCATTCAAGAATTATATTTATAAAAATGATCTAAAGTAATCAATTAAATTAAAATTAAATTATTTTTTATTTGCATTAATTCATAATTAAATATAGTGAAGTAATCAACTCCTTTATAATGTTAACAGCTTTAAGGATATTTTTATCTTTTTAATAGAAAAAAGTGTTTACCAGCACTTGTTTGCCAAACACTTCAACAACTTTTTTAAGTTTCAACACTTTTATCCAAACATGTAACTGCTTATTTATAAAATAAGTCTCAGCACTTAAAAGCTATTTTTAAGCACTTGTGCTTAAAAGTCACTTTTTTAAGCCAATCCAAACGGGTTCTCAGTCCCTAAACCAAATAGGCATGTGAAACTCACACTCGGACTTTGTTCAATATAACCGAAAAAAGCCACATCAGACCAAAAGAAAAGCGCTTTGGCTTTTTAGAACAGAGTCCGGAACCAAAATAATGCATTTTTGGACTCAAAGAATAAAAATATGTGGAAAAAATACATAGTGACTAAAAGGCGCTATATGTATTATTGTGGGACCACAAATAATTCTTCTGGGCTTAACTGACATAACAATAATTCAACTGAGTATAGCGTCTTAAGCTAAGACGCTATACCTCAAATAATTCACCCTCGGAATGATTTTTGCCTTATATAAGGACGTTAAGGATTTTGGTAAAAATTCATTCAGAAATACTGTAAGTGTTGTTAAATTTTTGTTTGTTTAGTTGTTCTGTATTTTGTCATAATATCTGAAGAGCGAAGAATTAGGGTTTTATTATATTGGGGGGTGAGGTTGTGGTGGTGAATAACTCAGTAAGTTATAGTTTATCTCTACAGTCTCATGTTAAGTTATCACTTACAACGGAGTACGATACATTAGCATCGTTGTTATGTAAAAAAATGAGTGTGAGCAAACGTTCGGTGAATCTTAAAATAACTGGAAGATATCCGTATTCTGTGATTCCGCAAGGGGTTGCTTGTTATGCTGAGTTTAACATTGAAGACGATGAAACTCTGAGAGATTTTTTGATGACTCCGGATGAATACCGGAAATTTATTGTGATAAAAATATTGGAAATGTACGTCAAGGCTGAAGACATTCGCAATAATATGGTTGCGCAAAGTAGGAAAATCCCTCAATCATCGGGTGGTTATTTTGGAGCAGTTTTAGCCGAACAGGTTCTGGCTGAAAGAGTTTGGCCAGATCTAAACTTATCTCCATGGGCGAATGAGGAGCGAGAAAATAATTTCTCCCCTAGTATACATAATCCACAAGCAGAATGGTAAACTTCAATTTTTCTACTGTGTTACGATGTATATTTTTGTGTATTGTATTTGTATTAACACTCATATATTCCACATGGGGTACCGACCAGATATGAATTTTACAAGTTATGAACCAACGGTCAGTTGGAATATGCCGAATTTTGGTGTGTTGGATCATGGTGGTCCATCCGGGAGTCAGCATCAACAAGATAATGTGCATCATGGGATATCAGCATATTATGATTTGTAAGTGAATATATAAAGTTATATGTATTGTTTGGACTAATTTGAGTAACTCATTATTTCTTTGGTTGTGCAGTGAAAACGAGCAACTTGATGGTCCTGTCCTTACTCAATTGCCCGAAGACACGTATTTAATCGGGATCTGGTAGATGCGCAGAGTCAGAAAGAGAACAGTGATTATGACAACAATGCCGATGAGTCTGTAGATGACAGACCCTTCCCTGACGAGGGTGATGTTGAGGAGGAAGAGAATACCGAACCCGATTTGACGAGGGAGCATGCTCCACCTCCCGTTAGACCAAAAGTATTTGAGTCCCACGTATCGTTTCATTCAAGTCATATTCCCTACCTTGATCATTTTCCAAGTATGCCGGATGTGGATGCCCTCACAAGGGATATTGGCGAAATTCAGTCAGCAATGTGGGATGAATCTAGACCAACAGTGCTGTCAAAGGGCATGCTTTTTCCTGATAAGGCGCGGCTAATCAGGGCGGTGAAAATGTACAGTGTAAAAGAGTATCGTGAGATGATGGTATGGGAGTCATCTCCGAATGTATACAAGGTTGTTTGTTATAGATGGTCTACGGGTTGTAATTGGATGCTGCGTGCGAGGAAGAAGAAAACAAATATGTGGGTTGTGGGTAAATACATTGGCACCCACAATTGTGAAATGGACACATTCAGCGGAAATCACTTTAACTTGGATGTTGACTTGATTTCTCTTGTCTTGATTCCATACATTGAAGCCTCCATAAGGTACAAGATCAAAGAGTGTATTATATCTGTCCACCAGGAATATGGGTGTACTATTACCAAAAGAAAGGTATTTGATAAGTCATTTGCATCTCTACCCAGGTACATAGCCGCATTGCAACACTTTAACCCCGGGACTGTTGTTGAATGGAAGCTTGAGCAGAGTCCGGGAATACCAGAATATATATTCAGATACGTGTTCTGGGCCTTTAAACCAGCAATTGATGGTTTTGTGCATTGTCGGCCGGTAATATCCATAGACGGCACTCATGTCTATGGAAAGTATGATATTAATCTGTTGATCGTCGTTACAATAGATGCTAATGGACAAATATTATGCCTAGCTTTTGATATTTGTGCCAATGAAAGCCAAGAGACGTGGACGCTATTTTTGAACCACTTGAAGGAGCATGTTGTCAAACAATGTTCAGGTATTTGTCTAATATCTGATCGGCATGGCGGTATTTTAAGTTATGTACAGCATTTGCCTAAATGGCAGGAACCGTATGCATACCATTGTTACTGTGTGAGGCACCTGAAGGCCAATTTTCAGAAGGCATATCCTAACAAGGACTTGCATAATTTAATGTGGATGGCTGCAACTAATCGCCAGGAGTGCAAATTCAGGAGGCGCATGGAATCTATCAGGCAGGAAGAAGAAAGAGCTTATCATTGGTTGATGCGACATGAGCTTGACAAGTGGACATTGCATGCAGATGGTGGCAGACGATGGGGAACCCTGACTACAAATGTGTCAGAGTCTTTCAACGGGTTATTGAAGTTTGCACGTGGATTGCCTGTCACTGCCATGGTGCGGATGTCATTCAAACAGATGGAGGAGAGGTTTGTTAAAAGGCATAGAGGTGTATCAGAATTGATGGAGAGGGGTGTTGAATTTATGCCAATACCAATAAAAAGATTTGAAAACAGGAGGCGAGCACATTGGCATTCATTTTTACAGTATTCCAAGTAGCGAAATATTTTTGAAGTTCGCACCGCTATCCATCAAAATCGGGGGAATAATACATATACCATAAATGAAGCCAGCAGGTTGTGTTCTTGTGGAAAATGGTTCATCTATCACATTTCGTGCTCACATGCTATGAAGTGCTTTCAACATACAGGTTTCGCGGCAACCCGGTTCGTTGATAAGCAATATAGTGTTGCTGCATACTTAAACACCTATAGTGGGAAGTTACAGCCAGTGGGTGCTGAGCATTATTGGCCGCTGGAACCATTTAAAATGGTGTGTAACGAGGAGTATTTGCGTAAGCTACAAGTGCAAAAAAGAACGCGTATACGGAACCAAATGGATGTTGGTTTCACCGTTTATGCGCGTAAATGTGGCATATGCTCGCAAACAGGACACGACTGTCGTAAATGTCCTTCAGCTGGTTTGGGTGTCGGTGGTAATCCTGCTCCTGGTGGAAGTTCATCTAATGTGCCTAACAATCAAGGATACACGTAGTATTTTTATTCCGTTATGTAGTTGTAATAAGTGTATGTACTTTTTTATCTTGCAGAATGTATGAAATAAAATTATGTTTCCATTGCTGTTAAATCTTTTTGATATTTAACATTAATACTTCAATACAACAATCTAACATAAACCCATTTTTAAAAAAATACCTTCAAAATAATCTTTTTGATATTTAACATTAATACACGTAGTGGTATTTTTTTAATGGATGTTGTAATATTTATTCAAAAGATATTTGAAATACATATGACTTGGTTCAGTTTATTCTTATTGTACCGTAAAGAATCATTAGCACGCGAAGCATAGCGTGATTACATACCACGTTATGTGTAATGTCTTGTCAACCTGATAAAGCTGACATTCTCGAAAAGTTGCCTTCTGGAAAAGCATTATTGTACCGTAAAGAATCATTAGCACGCAAAGCATAGCGCGGTTACATACCACGTTATGTGTAATGTCTTGTCAACCTGATAAAGTTGACGTTCTGGAAAAGCTGCCTTCTGAAAAAGCATTATTGTACCGTAAAGAATCATTAGCACGCGAAGCATAGCGCGGTTACATACCACGTTATGTGTAATGTCTTGTCAACCTAATAAAGTTGTCATTCTGGAAAAGTTGTCTTCTGGAAAAGCATTATTGTACCATAAAGAATCATTAGCACGCGAAGCATAGCGCGGTTACATACCACGTTATGTGTAATGTCTTGTCAACCTGATAAAGTTGTCATTCTGGAAAAGCTGTCTTCTGGAAAAGCATTATTGTACCATAAAGAATCATTAGCACGCGAAGCATAGCGCGGTTACATACCACGTTATGTGGTTGTTCTTGCCTATAAATGACTAGCGCATTTTAGTTATTAACTGCGCTTAACCAAAACTAATAGCAAAACTTTCCATAAAATTTTCATTTTTCTTGCATTAACAA